CAGTTTCAGCCAGGACCGGGAGAGAGATATACAGCAGGAAATGGTCGATTATCACCAATTAATTCCAGTATCTGTTTAATCTGTTTAAACTATTCTCTGTCAGTGCTGTGTTTCCGAGAGTGTTGTTCATACCTGACCTCTATTCTAAACCCAGAATGCTTCAATTTCAACTCACAGGGCTTATTGGAGTCTTTTGTCAAATTGTTACTTGTTTATTATTCAATTGCGGGACATGGGTGTGTCGCTGTCTGGGCCAATATGTATTGCCCGTCCCTAATTGCCCTTGAGAAGGTGGGGGTGAGCTGTCTTCTTGAACTGCTGCAGTTCAGCTATCTGGGTTGACCCACAATGCCCTGAGGGAGGGAATTCCAGGATTTTGTCCTCGTGACATTGATGGAACAGCGATATATTTCCAAGTCAGAATGGCGACTGGCTTGGAGGGGAACTAGCAGGGGGTGGTGTATCTGCTACCCTTGTCCTTCTGGATGGAAGTGGTCGTGGGTTTGGAAGGGGCTTCATGAACTCTCTCTCTCTCTCCCTATCTTTCTCTCTCTCACTCTCTCCATCTTTCTCTCTCTCTCTCTTCCCCCCAACACTTCCCCCCGACCCCCGCCTCTGTCTTTCTCTCTCTCTATCTCTATCTCTCTTGTTGGAAGTGAGTCTGAACGATAGGATTTACGTACATTTGGAGAGGCAAGGAATGATTAGGGATAGTCGGCATGGTTTTGTGCAAGGGAAATCATGTCTCACAAACGTGATTGAGATTTTTGAGGAAGCAACCAAGATGACTGACAAGGGCAGAGTGGTAGACAAAGTTTGCTTGGACTTTAGTAAAACCTTTGACAAGGTTCTGCATGGTAGACTAATTAGTAAAGTTAGATCATGTGGGATGCAGGGTGAGCTTGCCAATTGGGTACAAATTGGCTTAACGGCAGGAGACAGAGAGTGATGGTGCAGGGTTGATTTTCGGACTGGAGGCCTGTGACCAGTGGTGTTCCACAGGGATTGGTGCTGGGATCACTGTTGTTTGTCATTGATATAAATGATTTATCTGAGCATACGGAAGGCATGGTTAATAAGTTTGTGGATGACACCAAGATTGGTGGTACAGTGGACAGTGAAGAAGGTTGTCTAAGGTTACAAAAAGATCTTAATCAATTGGGTCAACGGGCTGAAGAGTGGGAGATGGAGTTTAATTTGGAAAAATGTGAGGTATTGCATTTTGGTAAAACAAACAAGAGAGGACTCAAACAATTAAAAGTAAGGCAGTCTTATGGAATAGAGAGACCTAGGGGTTCAGATACATAATTCTTTGAAGTTTTCCTCACATATAATTAGGATGGTTAAGAAGGTGTTTAGCACACTTCATTGCTCAGACCTTTTGAGTATAGGAGTTGGGACGCTATGTTGAGGTTGTACAAGATGTTGATGAGGCCTCTTCTGTAGTACTGTGTGCAGTTCTGATCGCCCTGTTATAGGAAAGATATTATGAGGCTAGAGAGGGTTCAGAAGAGATTAACCAGGATGTTGCCGGGAATGGAGGGTTTGAGTTATGAGGAGAGGCTGGATAGCTGGGACATTTTTCACTGGAGTGTAGGAGGTTGAGGCGTGACCTTATAGAAGCTTATAAAATCCTGAGAGGTATAAATAAGGTGAATGGCAGGTGTCTGTTCTCCAAGGTGGGGCAGTTCAAGATTAGGGGACATATTTTTGAGGTGAGAGGAGAAAGATTTAAAAAAATGTGAGGGGCAACTTTTAACACAGACAGTAGCTTGTGTGTGGAATTCTAGAGGAAGTGGTGGATGCGGGTACAATGACAACATTTAAAAGAAATTTACAAAAATACATGAATAAGAAAGGTTTGAAGGGATATGGGCCTAGCATGGGTAGGAGGGACTAGTTTAATTTGGGAATATGGCCGGCATTGACTGGTTGGACCATAAGTATGACACTATGACTCTATGACTCTCTCTCTCTCTCCCTCTTTCTCTGTCTCTCTTTCTCTCTGCTCACACAGCAGCAGATACAGAACCAGCCCTTATCAATCTGCTCCTGAAGATGTTATTAATCTGCTCTGAGCTCCCTGCTCCGTGACCTTACTGCCCTCAGAGACAAAACAGCAGGAAGGAGGCTGAGACTTCGTTTCAGAAGCAGTGTTATGATCGGGAAGACTCAGCCTGAGAGGGAGCTGGAGGCTGGAGAGAGAGCTGTTCAAAGGCAAATAGACAAATCCTTCCAGGGAGATGAATGAAAGGTCAATGGGGAAAGAGGAAGTCAGTGACTGGGGCAGTACTGGGTAGTTCCTTCACAATGGGATGAATGACCTCCACAGTGAGAGATTTTCTGGTGCTTTGAGATCTAGGTGTGCTGTATCTATCAGTCAGAACTGAAAGGAGCTGAAATACAATGGGTTTTGCACTGTTGACAAATGTCATTCCCATCCTTTTCAGAAGCCTTCAGTTCCAAAGAACAGATTTTGGATTGGAAATGTTCATTCTGTTTCTCTCTCAACAGATTCTGCTGGACCTGCTGAAGTTCTCCACACTTTTCTGGCTTTAGTTTAAATGTCGTGCATCTGCAGGACTTTTATTAAAGCAGCACACTTAATTGGCACCACATTCACAAAAATCCATTCCCTCCACTACTGATATTCATTCAGGTTCCATCTACAAGATGCACTACAGCAACTCACTGAAGCTCCTCAGAAAGCACCTTCCAATCCCACAGCCATGTCCATCTGGAAGGACAAGGGGCAGCAGATACATGGGAACACCACTCCCTGCCAGTTCCCCTCCAAGTCACTCACCATCCCCCCTTGGAAATATATCGCCATTCCTTCACTGTCACTGGGTCCAAATCCCAGATTCCTTCCTTAACGGCATCATGGGTCAACCCACATCACATGGACACGAAGCCAGCTCACTACCACCACCTCAAGGGGCAATTAGAAATGGGCAATAAATGCTAGCCCAGTCTGCAACACCCATATCCCATGGGTGAGTAAAAATGGGTGTGGTGTAGTCGAGCTGTTTGAAAGTTATTAGGCCTTTCTGAGATCTACGCAATACTACCACACGCCACATTCTCTCAGAGTGGGGGTGGGGGTCAGCTGTTTGGTTGTCAGCCTCACAGAGAGAGAATAAGTTTGATGAAACACTCTCAGAAATTCCTGTCAGGTGATCAGTTGCTTTATTCTCCTGTTCAATCCCTCAGGAACGATGACAAATCCACAGGTTATTCTCAGTCCGGATCAAGTGAGGGTCGCAGTGGGCAGCTCAGTGCAGTTACAATGTGCAATTGTGCACAGCAGTGTGCAACACCTTGGTGTAACGTGGAATGATAACCGTCGTGAGATCCTGACACATTCCCAATCTGATGGGGTTACCAGAGATCACACCGAAAATGAGAAATTTCAATCTTTCAGAGATCTCATCCATAACAGCTACATTCTCACCATCAGAGACATAGAAAGCAGCCACAGTGGACGTTATTACTGTGACATTGTTGGAAAGAACATGTCCAATAGCGGAAAGGCCGTCAGTGTATCTGTACAAGGTAAATTGTCTTTATATCACATTTTACATTCACTCTGCTGGAGATCTACTGCTGAGCACTTGCGTCAGTTACATTGTACTGGGAATCATTGGAGTATTTACCCTGACTGTCCTGGGAATCTGTGAGATATCATTGGAGTATTTACCCTGACTGTCCTGGGAATCTGTGAGATATCATTGGCGTATTTACCCTGACTGTCCTGGGAATCTGTGAGATATCATTGGAGTATTTACCCTGACTGCCCTGTGAATCTGTGAGATATCACTGCCACAGAGTCAGTACTGAGCAGGCACTACTGTTTTGATAGGGTCTCCCATTGTTGGAAAGGTACTGTGTCAAATCATTTAAGAAATACTTACCAAAGAATACATTTGGGGAGGTATTGATGTAGTGGTATTGTCACTAGACAATTAATCCAGAGCTCAAGGTAATGTTTGGGGACCCAGGTTCAAATCCAGCCACAGCAGATGGTGGAATTCAATAAATAACTGGCGGAAGTGGCGGCACAGTGGGATACAGTCGGGAGGGAGTTGCTCTGGGAGTCCTCAACATTGACTCCGGACCCCATGAAGTCTCATGACTCCGGGTTAAACATGGGCAAGGAAACTTCCTGCTGATAACCACATACCGTCCTCCGTCAGCTGATGAATCAGTACTCGTCCCTGTTGAACAACACCTGGAGGAAGTGAGCTGCAAGAGGCCTATTTGCCTCATTAACGTCTCAGATTACCTCGTTAATATTCACCGTTTCATTGTGCCTCCCCCCGCCCCCGCCCCCCCCCCCGCCCCCCCCCGATAGAAACTACTGGCTGAGATTTCCCCTCAGTCATTACTGAGTGATTCCAGCTCACCCCTTGTTCCTCTGGGTCTTTATCCTGGGCACCAGCACCAACCTCCCAGGGAACACTGTGTTGGCAGTGAGCACAAACACAGAGCCCACATCGACAGACCTTGGCACCCGACATGTCCCAGCTCACCATCTCCTGATGGCACCTTCCTGACTTTCAGTGCTGCACTATGGAGCTCATCAGTACTTGCATATGGAGGAAGTTCAACAAAGACTGATTCCTGGGATGGCAGGACGAACATATAAAGAGAGATTGAATTGATTAGAATTATATTCACTGGTGTTTAAATGAGTCAGGGGTTCCCATAGAAATCTGTAAAATTCAAGCAGGACTAGACAGGGTAAATACAGGGATGAAGTTCCCAATGACAGGCAAAGTCCAGAACCAGGAATCCAGGAGGTAGTGCCGAACGAGCCTCAGCTCTTGAGCTTGTCTAACAGGTTTGAGATTCTTGCTCCTTGTGTGGATAAGAGTATAGGCTGTAGAGAGGATGAACAAACTGAACATAGCACCGTGGTATAGGAAGCCGCAAGGCTGAAGGGGATAAAAACAGCAATATAGTTGTAATTGGGGATAGCATAGTCAGGGGAATAGACACTGTTCTCTGTGGACAGGACTGAGAGCCTGCCAAGAGCCCGGATTCAGGATATCTCATCTGGGTTACAGAAGCACCTTAGTTTGGGAGGGGAAAGATCCAGTTGTCATGGTTCACGTAAGAACCAACGATATCAGTAGAAAGAGGAATGGGGTTCTGCTGAGGGAATATGAGCAGCTAGGGGCTAAATTAAAAAGCAGAACCAAAAACATAATAACTTCTGGATTGCTACCTGAGCCAGAAGCTAATTGGCACAGGGTTAACAAAACTAAAGATTGATGTGGGAGAAACGGGTTCGAATTCATGGGACATTGGTACCAGGACTGGGGAAGGAAGGAGATGTTCCAATGGGATGGGCTCCACCTGAATCATTCTGGGAGCAGAGTGCTGGACAGTCACAACTAGGGCTGTGGATTGGGCTTTAAACTAAGTAGTAGGGGCTGGGTTCAATTGCAAAGAAAATGATGAAATCCAAGGGAAAGGGCAAGGTAGGTTTGCTGGTTAATGATGCTGTTAATTTTTCCCAGGAAAGAAAAGAAAAGGACAGAATGTGTGAATGTCATATTGCAGCAAAGAACCATAAACAACGAGGGGAAAGTCAATAATGAAACAAACTTAAAGGCTTTGTATCTTAAAGCCTGAAACATTTGGAATTATGTAAACAAACTGACAGTGCATATTGTTAAAAATGAATATGATGCCAAAGCCATTATGGGAACATAGTTACAAAGAGATCAAAACTGGGAACGTAACAAGTAGGGAACTTTGTCCTTTCAGAGAGAACAGGGCATGATGGGAAAGGTGGTGTGGTAGCGCTGTTAATCAGAGATAAAATGAAGACAACTGTGAGAGACGACCAAAGCTCAGATGGTGTAGAGTCCATCTGGGCGGAGATGCAAGGGAACGAGACATCGGTAGGAGGAGTGTACAGACCCCAAACAGTGACCACTTTGTAGAAATGCTACAAATTTACACATAATAGAAGCATGTATAGAGAATGGAGCAATAATTATAGCTGACTAACTTTAATCTTTATGTTGACTGGTTTAATCAAATTAAAGGTAGCTATGACAACAAATTCCTTGCATCAGGGATGAAGTTGAAGAGCAATATATTATGGAGCCAACCAGGGAACAGGCTAGTGGGTAATGAGGCAGCTTTAATAAATGATCTCCAAGGAAAAGATTCCCTTTGGAAGCAGTGATCATAACATGATAGAGTTTAAGAAGAAACAAAGAACTATGTGTGCTCAAAATCTGAAACAATAGCAGGAAGTGCTGGAGAAACTCAGCAGGTCCAGCAGCATCTGTGAGGAGAGAAACAGAGTTAATATGTCAGGTCCAGTGACCCTTCTACAGTTGTGAGTTTCTTTAGAAATTCCTGTTTTTATGACAGAATTTAATATGGAGTTTGAGAGTGAGAATCTTGGGTTGGAAATAACTGTGTTTAAGTGAATAAAGGGAATTACAATGAAATGAGAAAAAAAAACAGAAGTTGCTGGAAAATCTCAGCAGGTCTGGGAGCATCTGTGAAGAGAAATCAGAGTTAACGTTTCGGGTCTGATGGCCCTTCCTCAGAATACAGTTTTTGACTTACATCATCCGCAGCTCTTTCAGTTTTTACAATGAAATGAGGATAGAGTGTAATTAAACTGAATGGGGAAGATAAGTTACCAGGAAAGACAGTAAGCAAGCAGCAACAGACATTTAAGGAGGAACTTCATGACCCTCAGTAAAAATAGATCCCAGTGCGGAGGAAAGATTCAAGAGAGGGATAAACCAACCATGACTCTAAACAATTAAACTGCATTTATTTCAATGCAAAGTGTCTTACAGATAAGGCAGATGAACTCAGGGCATGTATGGGAACATGGCACTGGGACATTATGGCTATTACAGAAACACGGCTGATGTAAGGACAGGACTTGAAGCTCAATATTTCAGATTTCAGATGCTATAGGAAGGAATGAAAAGGAAGCAAGAGGGGAGGGGGAGTGGTGTTTTTGATCATGGAAAACATTACTGCTGTAGCTAGAGAAGACATTTCTGAAAAATCATCCAGTGAAAATATATATGTTGAAATTAGAAATAAAAAAGGAATGATCACCTTAAAATGGAATTGGACTATAGTCCCCCCAGAGTGAAATAGAGGAGCAATAATGTGACAAGGTCTCGGATATATGTAAGAATAATGAGGTTATAACAGTAGGGGATTTTAAATTTCCAAACATTGACTGGGATTATCATCATGTTAAAGGTTTGAATGATGAAGAATTTCTTAAATTTGTTCAAGAAAATTTTCTTTATCAGCATGTAAATGCTCCTACCAGAGAAGGAGCAAAACTTTACCGTCTCTTGGGCAATAAGGCAGGGCAAGTGACTGAAGGGTTAAAAAAAGGGGAGCACTTTGAATCTAGTGATATAATTCTATTTGTTTTAAAATGGTTATGGAAAGGGATAAACCTTCCATAAAAGTTAAGGTTTTAATTGGAGTGAGGCAAATTTATATGGTATGAGACAAGAACTTACAAAAATTGCTTGAAGCAGATTACTCACAGGTAAAGGGACATCTGATAAGTGGGAGGTTTTCAAAAGTGCGATAACGAGAGTTTGGAGTCATTATGTTCCCGTTTAGAGTGAATGGTAAGGCTGGGAGGATTAGAGAACATTGGATGAATGAAGATATAGAGGTTTGAGTAAAGAATAAAAAAGAATCATAGATATAGACAACTGGGTTCAAATCTCGTGAAGAGTATAAAGAGTGCAGGGGTATTCTTCAGAGGGAGATCAGGAAGGCAAAGAGAGGGTATGAGATAGCCCCTGCAAATAAGGATAAGGATAATCCAAAGTGATTCTATAAGTACACGAAGAGTAAGAGAGCAACTAGAAAGAGAGTAGGATCCCTTTGACGATCAAAGAGGTTGTCTTTGTGTTGAACCTCAGGAGATGGGGAAGATGTTAAATGAATATTTCCTGTCAGTTTTTATAGTGGAGAAAGAATTGGAGGCTAGAGAACTCAGAGAAATAAATATTGATGTTTTAAAAACAGTTCACATTACAGAAGAGGTAGTACTGGAGGTCTTAGAAAATATACAGGTGGATAAATCTTGAGGATCTGATCTAGTGTATCCCAGGACTTTGTGGGAAGTTAGAGAGGAAATTGCAGGGCCCCTAGCAGAAATATTTGCATCATCTATAACTATGGGTGAGGTGCCGGATGACTGGAGAGTGGCTAATGTTTTGCCGAAGTTTAAGAAGGGATGTAAGTAGAAGCCTGGGAACTATAGAGTCTGACGTTGGTGGTGGGGAAGATCATGGAAGTGATTCTGAAAGATAAGATTTATATGCATTTGGAGAGCAAGGAATGATTTGGGATAATCAGCATGGTTTTGTGCGAGGGAAATCGTGTCTCTCAAATTTGATAGAGGTTTTTGAGGAAGTAACCAAGAAGATTGAGCTGTACATGTTGTAGAATACAATAGAACAGAATATTCTTTATTGTCACTTGTACTACATTACAGAAGTACAGGAGTACAGTGAAAAGTTTTTACAATGGCT